TGACGAACGTACTTACAAATTGACGAGCGAGCTCCCCGTGTGCTTTTCGTAATCGGACACCCGCAACTCCACGCAAAGTAGCTCACTCGCATCCTTGCCAGATCGCAGTCGGTTTTCGTAGGAATAGAGTACCTGTACGAGCGTCTGGAAGTTAACGTACTTAACTTTAAGGATCGATTTTTCACTCTGAATGATTTGAATTGGACTATATTTTGCAATTTGGAACTATAAATTGTAGCCCGGTTTAAAAACAACGTATGTGCTATTAGTTTCCCCATGCACATAAGTGTTTTTCCAGAAGAGCCAGAATTTACAGTTCCAAATTGCAGAATGCAGTCCAATTCATGGGTTGGCTGCCTTTTCAGGCCCTAAAAGCTCCATAGCCTAACCTGAAAACTACCAACATATCCGCACCGCCGCGCCGTACCCACTTTCCCTACACAGCGTGTCCGGAAGTTAACGTACTTGACCGACAGGATCGATTTTTCGGCTCAAAATATAACTTTTTTCCAGCGCAAATATGCCCGGAAACGCTTCATAAGTGAGCTATGCGCCTCCGAAGTTGCCATTTATTTTCTTCGCATTGATTAGATGTAACTCCTCGTTATTTTGTCATAAGTAGCTGAAACTTTGTGCGAGGGAGTATTTTTCATTTACTGTTCATATTTCGTGTTTTCAAGGACGCACATCTTCGGACGAGCGATCCCGAATTTGAAAATTGCGATAACTTTTTTGGTAGGTGGTATTTTGAAAAACGGATTGCAGCATGTGAAGGAGCGCGAAAAATCAAGTGTGTATAGGTTTGCTGAAATTTCTCCGGGAATGCGTTATTTGGACACAACAGAGATTTGAAAAAGTTTCAGATTTCCGAAGCTCCTTGCTGAGTAGGCAATTTTTACTGCAAGGTCTGTGAGAAAGCATAGCGCATAGCTCACTAATGAAGCGTTTTCGGGCATGTGTGTGACGGGTGTGTTGGATAAAAAGTTACATTTTGAGCGATGTGAAGAGTTGTAGTAGACATATCGACGCGATTGAAGTCGGTTTATTCTTTCTCTTTGGCTTGAGCGTGCCGCCTCCGAAACCCATCAAACCAAATTGGAGCAAACAATTAATCACTCTTGGATCAACTTCAACCTCCGGTAGTGGGATGCAATGACGATAATGACTGTTGTGACGTCACTAATGCGCTGTTACGCATAACTCATCGCGAATGTAACTGTAACAACGGATCATACGTAGAGCTCGCGCAGTCGCGCACCGTATATTGACAAGAGTGACTCGCAAGTCACCAGCTTTCATGCCGGAACTAAGCCCAGGGAAACAGGAAACTCATTGAGGAAAAAACTTCGATTCACATGGATTATACACCTTTGGTGTATGAAACCAAAGTTTCCGGTCTCAAGAATACATTTTCGTTTACGTGGCCAAAGTTTTTGTTAAGGCTAGGGCGTGGGGCCGTAGGGGCGTAGGGCAGGGGTGCTAGGGTGTTTTCAGGGTGTCTACAAGTGCGGACTTTGCGGAAAGTCCGGGAATAGTACTGATTTTTCAAAAGCGATCCGGAAGTACTGAAAAAGTGCGGAAATTTTGCAAGAAAGTCCGGAATTTTTTTCATTTTTGTCGCAGTTTGAGCGGAAAATTCAAATTTTTCGAATTTTGTTAGTTGAAGGTATTGAAAAAGTACCGAATTTTTCTGTTGAGGAGGTACTGAATTTCTTGGGAATGTACTGAAAAAGTACTGTAAAAGCACTGATTTTTGGCCAGCCTGTTATAGTCGACACTCTGGCTTTTATAAAACTTCGGCGGGTTGTCCAGAGGGCCCTGTCAGGTTTCTGTCGGGGCCCCCAAAACTTTAAAAACCCACATGAAGCACGGCTTTAGGTTAGTTAGAGGGGGTCCCAAAAACGTATCAGCACCCCAATAGTGTTCGATCGACACTGTTTTGGTCATAGTTATACACTGAGATTCAGATTTTTTACAGAAAGTCTCGGTTAGTTGAACCAGGATTTCGTTTAAATGAAAATTCCGGTAACCGGTTTAAAATTTTCCGCGTTACATCTGAACAGAAGTTCGGTTCCTTTCACCAATTTTTTTTTCTCTCTTGCTCAGAAGGCGAACAGGATCCCACGAAAGAAAAGAAGAAAAACGTATATTTTAGTCAGGGTTTGTTCCATTCTATGTTTATGAGTGTTGTGTTCTCTTCAGTAATTTCAAGAAAAACACAAAGATATTGAAAAACGAAAAAAAAATTAAAAACTATAGATACAAATACATGCTTATTTTTCCAAGTCACACGCGCTGAACGGAAATGCTGCTGACATCATCTCATGAGCCAATCAATAGATTTATTGTTAAATAAATGAACGGAAAACCATAGAAATCGATTGATTCACAGAAGAAGAAAATCTATCTTCGCTCATAAAAAATTGTCTACGTCGAGGCTGAAAAGCTCCGGCTCAGTGGCGTGGCGTGCTTTGCGATATATTGATTGATCTGCCATTTAAACCTACGGAAAAGAATCGATAAACAGGGTGTTCGTAACGAACACCTTAATAATTGATTCTTTACGATAGCTCCAAATTAGGAAATATTGATAATCGATTGTTCACGCCTCGCCACTGCTCCGGCTGACGCGATGGACGCGACGCGCAATGATATCAAACGCGGAGATGCAACTATTCGTGCTCGAGGGTGGTGCTTGTTGCATCTCGAAAAAATGAAGGCGTTTCTTGCCTCTCGTTTCGTGGCCAATTGTCTCATCTAAAAACGTCGCCGTAGTTTTTAATCCGATCTACGAATGAACGGAATTGAACTTATCATAATTGGACCGAGTTCATCAGAAAGGAACCAACGCACATTAAGTTGAAACTGAGAAAAACAGACTGGAAGTTTTATTCCTGTATAAGGCTCAATGTAGAAAATGAACGTTAACCCTGCTATTCACAAACTAATATTTTTTTTTTCGACTCTGAACTTTTGGCAGAAGAACTCAAAAACATTCTAAACTCATTTTTTTCGAAAATGTAAGTTGGTTCCTTTCTGATGAACTCGGTCCAAACATAGGCCTACAAATACACCCTTAAAAAGAAGCGGACATCAAAGCGAAAAAAGACATAAAAATCGAAAGGCAGCACAATCGGAAGTATGAGAAACGTAATCGGGTCGAGTTTCATAATTTTTCTCCTGAATCTGAGTGAGTCCTCATCGGCAGCATAACGCTAGGCATTGCGAGTTCACTCCTCGCGCCATCGCGCCTTCAATTTTGCCGACGCAACATGGACATCCATCAAACACGAATAGTTGTATCTCTGCGCCGTCATCGACGCTTGTTCTTTCCCTTACTTTATTTCCATTGTATGTTTGTTCCCGTTTATCTTACTTGTGGTGGTGCCTCAAGAGCTACGTGAGCAACCAGCAACCAGAAGATAAGAGATACCTACTTAATCGAGCCTGATTTTTTAACTTTTCGCCCGAATTTGAGTGAAACTTCATCGGTACTTAGAGCGAACCAACGCATATTAAATTGAAAGTGAGAAAAAGAGGTTTGAAGTTTTATTCCTGCATAAGGCTCATGTCGAAAATAAATGTTAACCCCTCTTTTCACAAAGTAATTTCTTCGTTCGACTTCCATATTTTGGCAGGAGAAAATAAACGACCTGTGGAACTCAAAAACATTCTCAACTCAATTTTTTCGAAAATGTGGGTTGGTTCCTTTCTGATAAATTCGGTCCAATTAAGTGTGTTTCTCTGATTTCTAAAATATTTTCTGAAAATTGACCAGTTATGTGAATTTTTTTTTTTTTTTTTTTTTTTTTTTTTTCAGGTAACACGGAAAACTTCGATCATGCCTTCGACGGGGATTACAACCCAGCCAACATCGCACTTGCCTTTTATTCGGGTCTCTTCGCGTTTGGCGGATGGAACTATCTTAATTTCGTTGTGGACGAGCTACAAGATCCTTTCAAGTAAGTCAGCACCAAAGTCAGTCATGCACTAAAATTATTGCTGAACGTCTCTTTCATAGTCGCCGGGGGAAAGATATTTCCGAGAGTGCGTCGCACAAAAAGTCAGATTGATTCTCCGCTGCGAAAAAAAAAAAAAAAAAAAAAAAAATATTTGACAGAAAGGAATCGAGGGGGCTGCGAAACTTTCGAAATTCCATAAAATACCCTAAATCCACCAAAACTGCTCCTGTGTAAAATCGACCTCCCTATGCAAAGGCGATTCGCCCTTTTTGCTTTTCCTGTTTGGCGCCTTAGTATAGCGCTAAAGTTTCGCGATTCAGGGGTTGAAAAAAACACGTTAGAACCCAAAACGCTCCAGCAGGGCAGGGCCGGATTTACTTACTTACCGCCCATCCATGGGCTGCCTGTATTTTGCCGCTCCCTTCTCATTCGTTTTGAAACATCAATAAAAACCATCAAGTGAACGTGCCGGAGGGCGAGGGGTGCATAAAACGCCTTTACTCGTGTTGGACACATTTTTTGCGAAAGCCCTGTCAACATTACTAGCAAAATTTCACGGAACTTGGCGCAAAAGTTAAGTTCCGTAAACCTATCTCTGCATGGAGAAGGCGTTCCATTTATATGAAATTAAACAATATTATGAAAGAACAAACATAAATGTGGTTTAATAATTTTAACTTCTGCCGCCGCCGCGCCGCGCTGACCGCACTGTGTTTGGCGCAATGCGTAAAGTATTCCTACAGTCTTGTGTGCGCTATGCGCTTCACGCAGACCGCTGCTGCACGCACTGTCTTTGACGCAGTGCGTGAAGTATTCGTGCAGTCTTGTAGGCGCTATGCGTTTCACGCCACCCGCTGCTGATCGCAGCGACCGCACTGTCTTTGACGCAATGTGTGAAGTATTCAGGCAGTCTTGTAGGCGCTAATGTGTTACATGCCGACCGCCGCCGCGCCGCGCCGAGAGTTTCTCCTTTTCATTTCAAGTTCTCGCATCATTGCTCTCTGCGCCGCGCCGTTCCAGGCCAAATTCCGTGTTCGGTTTCTCTCTTAGTCTTAACTCGACTAATTAAAGGTGCTGTCTATTGTATCACAGAAAGACGACAAAATTAGAGATTCACTCTCAGGAAATGAGAGATTTTGTCACCTTTTCTCGTTTGTAATTTTTTTTCTGAATCCGATTTTTCTTTATAGCTACATTTAAAAAAATTGCAAAATTTGCCGCCTTCTAAATTTGCCGCCATGGGCCACGGCCCATGTGGCCACCCCGTTAATCCGCCCCTGCAGCTGGGTGTCTAGCATCAGGATTTTCCCGATTCTATCAGGATTTGAGGTCAATATGGATTTGATCCCAATTTCATCAGGATTTGAGGAAAATCGGTCTTAAAATCAGGATTTGAGAATAGTCGGCCGTCCGATCGGATTTTTTTATCCAGCTATTTTTGTGGAGTTATATATCGATTTGGAAAAATTATGAAATCAGGATTTAGCAGTCAAAAATCAAGATTTTATCAGGATTTCTCAAAATGAAAAAAACCAGACACCCTGTCCAAGCTGCCACAGGCTACTGGCTCCTTTTTAGTACCGAAAAATGTGAATTTATTGAAGAAGATGAATTTTGTCCTGATTGTCGGTACCGCGCAACCACTCATCGTCGTAATTATATTAATTTGATGTCTTAAAGAATGCAAGAAGCTATATTCTCGATACAGCGCACAGTGACATCAATGTCGTAAAACAATCATGTGGTAAAGTTTTGATTTTAGCGGCTCTGGTGCTTGCACTAGAGCTGCTATTCCGGACGGTCCCAGCTGGGGAGTATCATTGGACCATGTTACATTGGAGAGACCGCGCGTTGGTTAATGGGAATCGGCGCCATTTTCGGCTATGTTCCTTGTCATGACTTTATTTTATTGCATATTGTTTTATTGTTAGCCAATGCCATGTTGTGTAGTGTATTTTTGGAATCATGGTGATACAGTCAATAATTCAAAACTTGTCTGTGCTTTAATCTCGTGATGGAAAAAATGTACTTTACGTTCAAAATTTGAAAATTTGAATTTTAAAGTTTTCGCGGTTAAGGAAGCTCCAACCACTGGGTTGGAGCTTCCTAGCCATATTACTCGATATCAGCTGATAGCAAACAAAGGTTACCAAGGAAACCTTAAACGTCCACAACTACCGTGGCCATCGGGGCGATTATTGAAATGACATCGACTCTATGTCGCCGCTTACGACAAGACATATAGCCCTATCTTAACCGTGTAATATATCGCAATTCGATATTCAAAACCATTACCTACAATTTCAGATATAAAAATGCAAATTTTTTGCAGCCTCGCTAAACGACTTATCAACCATGCATTCCAAAGTTTCTTATCACATAGGGCTGTGAAAATATACAATCTAATAAATACAAAATAACCAAATATCTAAAAAGACAAAATTTCAGTTACAGTCAGTTTCAGTCTTATTGTTGCACAAACTAGTTATTTGACAAAAAAAGAAGATGATCACTCAATTGAAAGAAATTGGCGCCCACTCACAACGACAAGTTAAAAAAAATACTGTGGGAGAAATTTTTTAGGATGCGGACCTCCAAAGAGCCTTCAAAATTAAAAGTATACAACAAGTGATAGTGCCATGCATTCTGCATATCAAGGGCCAATACACATTTATACACCGGCTACGTAAATCTTTTGTATCTTACTAGTATTTTGTGATTGATTTTCCGATTTCTCACGTAGAAAATTATTACAGGGTATCTAGCATCAGGATTTTCCAAATTGTCCCGATTCCATCAGGATTTGAGGTCAATCAGGATTTAATCCCGATTTTCATCAAGATTTGAGGAAAAATCGGTCGTAAAATCTTGAGAAAATTCGGCCGTTTGATCGGATTTTTTAATCGAGGTATTTCTGTGAAGTTACATTCGCCTTCAAGGAAAGAAATTAAATGTTGATTTAGCATTTATACTGTTAAAAAGATGTCCGACAAGTTTCAAATGCTGATTTTACATTTTAACAAATGCTAACGTAACTACGCCCACTGCAAAACGTACAAATTAAAATGTTATGTTAGAATTTTTGTACTGTAAAATCAGCATTTGAAACTTGTCGGAAATCTTTTTAATAGTATAAATGCTAAATCAACATCTCATTTTTTCCCGTGTTGCGTGAAGTCAGGATTTGATCAGGATTTGGATAAATTATGAAATCAGGATTTGGCATCAAAACTCAGGAAAAATCAGGATTTCATCAAGACTTCCCACAATAAAAATAAAAAACTAGACACCCTGTATTAGTTTTTTATGAGTGTAAATCAAAGAGATATTTTTCGGTACTGCACGCGAGCGTCTGGTATTTTATGGCATCGACATAATTTACTGCGATTTAACCCGTGGCGTTGAACTTGAACTGAGTAATATCGTGCATTACTCCTGATGAACTTAACTCAGAACAGAGCCCGGTGCACGGTTAAACGTATAGTGCGTGTCACGTGTGACGCGAGCCCGCTGTTCAATTGAAGTTAATTTCAGTTCGAGCTGCCTCGTGTCAAAATTAACGTGCATGCATAGCCGCATTAAGTAGCTCCTTCAAAGTGAGTAAACTTTTCCCCGTCTTAGTTCAAATGGGAAAGATATCTACAGCTTGAGAAAGTACGTCATGGGAAACGATTTAATTAGCCCGAAATACGCGTACCTATAAAATTACTTAAACCGGGAGAAAGGCTGTAAAACAAAGAAATATCCTAAAAAAACCAGGGCATTATATTCTACGAAAACTTCATTTTCAACCGGCCAAAAAAAGAAAATGAAATGAAAGGAAAAAACCGGAAAAATAAGTCGTCGACCATTGTTGTTGGGAAACCAAGACTTTTCATTTTTTGCCGGTTGGAAATGAAGCTGTTTGTCTTAATGTCCCGGCTTTTTCAATGATTTTTTTGTTTTTCTGGTTTTTCCTGGACCATAAGTTGTTTTATAAAGTTAAGGAAAATGTATTTTTTATTTCTTCAGTGAAACTTTTAAATTGTAATCAGATGGTTCCTTGTAAAGAATGTCTCCCTCTCCCATCATGTCAGGTCCAGACTTGAAATCTCCATCGCACACTTTACGTTTAAAATATATGTATATTTTACGTTTAAAGAATATATATTTTACGTTTAAAAAATATATATTTCGCGTTTAAAAATTATATATTTAAGGACGAGCATGCTTGGGTTTTGTTTCCTCATTTTTAAAGCTCGAGGAAATGCGACTTGAAAGCCATTTGAGAAGTGAATCTTTTACTTCGTTTAAAGGAAGAAGGATAATGATTGTTCCGTCTCTTGATCTCAAATAACCATTCACTCTTCATAATGAGCGAGGAGTAAAATGCCAGAATGCTGGAATTAATTTGATTCTAGGGCATTTGCTTTAAGTAACTAGATCGAATTCAAAATTGTTTGAACTAGTTTCCTCGTGGTTTTGCCCGATATCAGTTGATGAACGCGAAGTTTGATTCTTGGAGCCCGTCTAACCATGGCGTAATTCAATTATTAACACCACGCTGTGTCACATCGCTTTCCAAAATGGGTTCATCACGTCTTTTGTTCTCAACTCTCCACTCTGGCCTGACCTGTTCAATACGCCGGCTTCAGCTGCGCAGTTGGTCAAAACGCCACGCCAAGACACAAATTTGAATCCTAAAAAGCTCAACGTAATTGGCATGTTCCCTAAGATTCGAACATTTTTGGAAGTAAGCGCGTGATTCTCTCGTCGCGACGAAAGCAGAATCTCCAAAGTGGTGAGGAACCAGGGGTGAACCAGAGGAAAATATCATAGCACAAATGAGGAACTTGGAGGACAAGGCGCATAAGTGCAGTTTTTGTTATTTCGCGCGAAATACGCGTTTGAAGTTTCGAAATTACATGGATCCTTATGGCGGAATGAAAGTTCAAACTGACTTTTTGATGCTTAAAAATTAGAATTTAGGAGTGAATTTTTCACAGATTATGCATTAAGAC